ATATATTAAAAATATTTTATTTTAGTACTTCAATTATTCTTGTATTTTTTTATTATTTTTTTAATAATTGAATCTTTTTCATTATTATCATTTAAAATATGTTATTTTTTTAATTTCTTTGATTTCAACTATTATATTCTAATATATATATATATAATTTTTTAGAATACACAATTATAATATAAAAATAAAATATGACAATATGGTTAGATGATAGTAATATTTTGAACGATATTTGTTTGAATTGTTTTGAGGAAAAAGAAGGTAAATAATGGAAGATCGTATAAAAACCTATGAATGGTTTTGGTGTGATATTTTTTTAAACTGTTGATAAATTATGCAAGATCATTACAAAATACTATCTCCGTCCGGCTCTAAGGTCTCATTTACTTTTTGGGTGTTGATATTTGAATATTAATTATATGAAAACGTAATGCAAATTAAAAAAAAAAATGCAAAAATACTTCAATTAGTATCTTATAATACTAATAGAATGACATTTGTACAAAAATTATATAAATATAATGATATTTTTAATATTAAATACAATGACTTAAAAGGTAAACGTGGCCTTAAAGGCGGATGGAGGAGTGTATAATATTTTACTATTTAAGAAAAAAAAATAAAAGGAAATTGTCAAAAACCTTCATCTAAACAAGACCATAGTAAATGAGTGAACATTGAAATACTTAAGATTAAAATAATATTGAATATTATGGACACGTACTAAGCATCAATTCAATCAATCATCACTATCTATATGTTTTGCTAAATATACACAAACATTATGCCTGCGCTTTTTTAGTTTAATCTGATTTTAATATTTTTACTGTACAATTATTATATTTTTTATATAAAAAAACATATATTATTTTATGTTACAATATATCACATTTAAACTATTATTAAAAAAAAAAAAAAAAAGTAGAACACATCATGTATAAAAAGATAATGCATGTTATTATTATTTTTAAACACTGCATTTGATCCCTTGTACTTTTGAACTATCATGTTTTAATTCAAAAATTAAATTATAGAGTACATTTAAATATTTTTAGAATTTCTTTTGGAAAGGGTTTGATTGTTTCTATTTAAAACCAAAATTAACATTATTAATATTATTTTTTTTCTCATAAAATATTAAATCAAAATATTAGTAAACAAAACTGAATTTAAAATTTCAAACTCAACTCAAAATCAAAGAAACTGGGGTTTGTTTGATATCAAAATAGTAAAAAATTGAAAATAAAATAAATTAATATTGAATGTAATATTTTGAATTAGAAAATTACATTTTTTATATAAGATTTTACGTAATATTTCTTTAAAAAATAAATAAATTGTTAGACAACTAGCATGAAAACACTACAAAAAAAATAGTATATTTGTAACGGAATTCTGTCACTAAAATTTACGTAGCTAATGTAATTCTATTCTTAATTTCATCGTCTCTAATTTTATTAGTAACGGAAAAAGTGAATTTATGAAGAAAAAAACTTCGTTACAAAAATGATATTTTATTGTAATGAAATAAAATTAAAAACATGAAAACTAAAATTACAAATGATCACAACTTATATAATTAAAATATAATAGTAGAATTTTATAGTCGATAGTAGTGTGCATGCATATGCATGTGAAGGTTTCTTTATCATCATATAAACTTTATAACATGTCTATTAATAAAAAATAAATAAATAAAAAATAACATGTCTATTAGGCAGATCTATGTTGTCACAAGACCTCACTTCATATATAGTCAATTCCCTGTTATTTATTTATTTGTTTATTTTGAGTGATGTAAATTTTCAGATATTACGTCTAACATGCATCCATTTTTCATCAACTATTTTACTTTAAAAATAATTAAAATAAAAAACATAAAATCCACAACCAATTAGTATTAATTGAGTATAAATATTGAACAAAATTTAGTATTATTTTTTTCTTTCTTGTGTGTGTTAGTATTAACTAATATGTTGATTAATTATAGAATGTATTTTTGCGATATTTTGAAATCTTAGGTTGGTTCAAAAGAAGTAAAAAGTTGAATGAAAAATATATATGATATAAATAGAATAGGTTTTTTGACATAATATTTAAACTTAAAAAGTAGATTTATAATGCTTTTTGAAAAGAGAATTTTTGGTGAATAATGCTAATACAATTTTAAAAATATAAAGGTTTCTTTTTTAATCTATATACAATTATCAATAAAAAAAAATTATTAGAAATATATTATTTTTTATACAATATTTTTAAAATAATACTAATAAATAATTTATTCAATGAACATCATGATTCTTCAAAATGTTTTATAATCCGGAATAACGGGGCAATATATATTTTTTTAAAGAAAAAAAAAACTGGTTAGTATGTTCTTTTATAAAATTTTATACTACTATTTATTAAAAAAAATATTCAAAAATATCAAACCGGATATTTAATTTATTTTTTTTATACTAAAAATCAATTTTACATTCAAAACATCAGATCAATATTTATTCATATTATATCATTTTATTATTTTAATTCAAAATTTTTACTATTCAAATCTCAAATATAAAATCTAACCCCACAAACAAACACACACATTTTTTAACATATTAAAAGACAACCTAACTAGCCAAAGTATTAGGTTTTTTTTACTGTACAATAATCGGAGGAAAATTGTAAAAATAATCCCTTCACGTATATTAATTTGTCACTTTAGTCTTTTATTTATCTTTTTGACAAAAATATATCTTACATATTTATAAAAGTCGTTATTTTTTTATTGGGCGACGTGTGGCCGTGTTTGGAACAATTATTGTGCGAACATTAAGCGCAAGCAAATGACACAAATGCTGACTTTTGCAAAGATATATAATATATTTGGCAGCGACATAAATAAGGACAATAAAGTATATATGAAAAATATTTTTTACAATTTTTTCTATTTTTTATTTAAATATACCCCCTTCAATCCAGATATTTTAGTCTCATTTTTGTGGAAAAACACAGAGAAATTGGGCTAAATTTACATATTATGTACTTTATGTTTCTAATACACACAGATACTGCACTAAGATGGTTTTTTTTTTTTTTAATTCAAACTTATTTTTGAATTGTTTTACAAAAATTAAAAATCTAATTTTTATAAATATTAAATTTAAGAACTTATTCTATATTCAAAACATTAGACTTAACAATATTTCATCATTTGATTTACAAAAAGTTGACTACTTTATTTTTTTTATTTATTTCTAAGGCTTGTATTTTAGTATTATATTTCCTTGTTTTTTTACTATTCAATTTTTTTCACAAAATATATTAAATTCAATATTTTTTTTTAATGCAAAACATTACATTCAACAATTATTTTCATCCTATATAAAAAATATATATATATACCAAATAAAAACACAACTATGACTTTATTTACTTTGAAATCATTTTTTTTTTTCAGATTCTTATTTAATTTGCAGCACTTAATTTTTTTTTAAAAAATATATTATAATCTCACAAAATAACACAAAGTCAAATTAAACAAAGTTTAACTTTAGTATAGAATGTAAAATATTATAGCTTATGTTATCAGAATAGGATTAAATAAAAATTTAATAAAGTGTGTATATATAAAATGAAAGAATGTAAGTGTATATGTATATATCATGTCTAAACTATGCTATCATGCATCTCTTCGTGTACTTTATTCTTTTTAATATTATATTACCATGTCTCCTACACTGTAAATACGATATTTTAAAAAAGATGTAATTAGTAGATAATTAAGAATATATTAGTAAAAATAATTATCCTATAATATAAATAATTATAAATTAAGAGTAAGATAACTAATTAGTTCAATTAAAATTTTAAAAAAATAAAATTAAAAAGTTTAAAATGAGATTAAAGTGTGTAATCATTTTTAAAAAAGAAAAATGACATGGTATGTGAGACAGACAAAAACGGTAACTTGAACATGATATACAGGACAGAGTGAGAAATAAATAGTGCAATAAATTTTAGTTCCTAGGCATATGTAACCCTTGATCTATTAAACAGTGTCACTCAATACATCACATACAGATTTAATTTAATTTGATTAGCATGCACAGTGCATTTTCTGAAATTTCTGATGGTGAGGGGAAAGAAAAGACAGTCATAAATAATAATAATAATAATCCCTTCTTCCGACTACTGTTTTCCTTCAACTGTTTTCCTTTTAATATAATTACTAAATAATTTAAAATATATTAATAAAAATAATTTTAAATTAAAATTAAAATAATTAATTTATCTAATTAAAATTTTAAATTTTAAATTTTAAAATAAAATTAAAGTGCATATTTTTAAAAAAAAATAAAAAAAAAAAAGTGAATAAACAGAATTGAACAAATGGATATAATAAGTTGGACAGAGAGAGTAATAATTAAGTATTTAAGTTATTAAGGCAACAAAGAAATGTTATATATCCAGCACACACAAAGAAATGTCACAATGGCAAATTCATAATCAAATAACACATAAAGCCAATTGATCTATATATGATCATGTGATCAATTATTGTTATAATTATTATTTTAAAATAAAATGCAAACCTCATCTAAATTCATTAAATAATGCATGGAAATAATTAACACACAAGATCAAATAAATTATTCTTCATTGAAACATACACAATCAAATAAAAAGTATTATATGTTTTGTTAGACAGCCTCCCATTACCAAATAATAATAGTAATCTTTACTTGTCTCCAATATTAACAAATATTTGTCAATAATATATCAAATTAAAATATACCAAAAATCTAACTATAAAGTAAAACTTTTATTTAAATTTAGATACCAAATTAACATAATCCTAATCCACCACCATATATGATTATTATTATTATCATAAATAATACTCTACTCATCCAAATTGTTCTCAATAAATGTTCCAAACATATATAATCAAATTTCTAGGAAATTGTTACCCATAATAATAATAATAGTAGTAGTGATTATTTATTTATTCAAGAATTTGGGTAATGAAAGAAGTGTGAAGTTGTAGCACTAAAAGCACAGAAGGGGCTAGGGTATGAAGACGAGGTTGTACCCGTGGCTGCCGAAGTTGTACCTCCAAGGTTTTGCTGGTGCAGCAACCCTATCCCAATCCCAATTCCTCCTCCGCCGCCGCCGCCGGTCACATACTCTCCGGCAGGAACATGCTCCGCCGGCGGATGGTGGTGGTGGTGGTGGTGCTGATCCTCGGGGCCCTGGTCGTACAATATTCCGGTGAAGACGTGGCCGGCGATGCAGACGGAGGTCTGGTAGGCGTACTGGTCGACGACGTTGTCGATCGAACTCACGCGGACGCATCGGAAAACTGCCGGAAAGCTTACCTCGCCCGGCAGCGGCACTTCACCTTCTTCTGCAACTAACCCTAATTTCAAAAAATTCTAAAATTTCAATTTCACTAAATCATTTGCAAAATTGAAATAAATAGCTAAATCATTCACAGATTTAAATCTTTTTTTTTTTTTTTTTTTATTCTTTCGATTTGGGGTTTCTACATAGCAGAATTTGTTCTAACAACAAATACCCTAGAGCCTCACATCAGGACAAAACAAATATATATATATAAACATATGTATATATATATATATAGAGAGAGAGAGAGAGAGAGAGAAGATAGCTAGGGTTTATAGATAATTGTATAGTGTAATTAATGAATTATGTGTATGGTCATTATCAAAAACTCCTAAAACCTAGAGAGAGAGAGAGTTAGAGAGAGATGCTTTGCACGCAAGATCAACACTTTGTTAGTCATATGTGTATATAATATATATATATAGAGAGAGAGAGAGAGAGAGAGATGTTGGTATCTATCTAGCTAGGGTTGAATTTTAGAGTGAGAAACGCAGATCAGAAAGCAAAATAAAGGAATGAAGGAAAAGATTAAAAGCTGGATCTGCAAAATCAAGAGATATATATATTTAGTTTAGTTTTAATTGATTTATATGAATTACCTAAGGGCGGAGGTGGGGGGTTGTGGTTGCGGTAGCGCTTAGGGTTTGGGCCATGGGGGTGGTGGTGGTGGTCGGGCTGGGGAATGAGCTGCTGCGGCTGGTGGTGGTGGTGGTGGTGGTGGTGGAGGAGGCGGGGGCGGCGGCGAGCAACCGGAACCCACGTGCTCCTCACGTGAGTGGGGCACTGAAAGCCGCGGCTCTTGCAGCAGGTCCTGCAGCGTAGATGCTCGCAGTCCCGCTTGGCCTGGTTCCCGCAGTCCAGGCACCGGCTACCGCTCGACGACGCCTGGCCTCCAGCTCCGGGACCTTCTCCTGTTGCTGCTGCGGTTCCCGTTCCGGTTCCTGTACTATTCTCGTTGTTTCCTCCGCCTTCTTCTTCTTCTTCTCCTCCTTCTCCTCCACTCATCATTACAACATTATTACCATTAATTCTTTCTCTCTCTCTCTTCTTTCTACTCTCTACAAACACTCATTCATATATATTTTTTCCTAACGCATAATGAATGACACTCATAATCATAAACACCAATTCAAGAATTCACAACCTCAATACATATATACACCTCTCTCTCTCTCTCTCTCTCTCTCTCTATATATATATATATCAAAACATGGGTTTAATGATCTAAAGGGAGAAGAAATTGGGATGGGGAGGAAAACGGTTTCAAGGCCTCTAGGTTTTTATCCTTGATCCTCTTCTTCTTCTTCTTGATCTTCTCTCTCTGGATATATTAATTTTTTAAAAAATAAAAATAAAAATAAAAATAAAAATTTGGGGTTTGAATGTATATATATATATGAGATTGGAAATGCAAATTCTTAATGAGGAGATGGAGTTTGAGGTTTAATTGAATTGAAAAATATTATATAGGTGTGAAAATGAAAGGGATGGATGATGGCATTGGAGTGAATGAGGTCTGTGACTGTGAGATATATAAATACTTTGTAATATAAATTTCCAACATTCCACTCTACGTTGCAACAGTAAATCCATTCAGAGATAAAGTGTACATCTGCTCATATATCAATTTAGAAACAAACACCAAACCCTTTTCATTTCCATATATTTATTTATTATTTAATGTTTCTTTTATCATTCCAATTATTTTTATAGAGGATATGAAATTATTTTCAAATTTTAGGTTGATTTGCAAACAATAAAATATTGAATAGAAAAAAAAAAAAAAAAAAAAAAAGATGCTAATGTAATATAAACAGACACTAGATATGATTTTTGTTTGATAATTTTTTTTTTTAATGTAGAAATAATATTTTAAATAAAAAAATTAAGTATTTTATTTATTTATTATAGTTGCTCACCTAATTCCTTGCAAATTAAGTCCGACGAAGCAAATTATGTGTGACATATAAACCTGGAGACGTCGGTATTTGAACCGTCACAAGTTTATTCCCTGCACCAACAGGTCATTCCTTACGGAGATTTACTTTCTTCTTTTTTAATTAATATATATATATGTAGGCAGAACATGATATAATGACATATATAATATACAATTTATGTAACATAATGCAAATGCATGTGTGTTCTTTTAGCAGTGTATTTTAATAAAAATCATGATGATTAAGTAAGAAAAAAATTAATAAGAAATGATTAGAGAGACATGTTGTAATATGAAATTAATTAATTTATTGGATGTCTAATTGAGTCAGTTTGGATTGCCTTAGTTAGTCTATTTGTTATTAGAGAGAGCTCTTCTTGGTATACATATAAATACCAACTACATGCCTGAATAATTAACGTATATTTAGAATATTTAAAAGTTTGTCATTTTATATTATTTTTTTATATTTTAGACTATACCATATTCACAATTCTTTGTGAAAAAATGTACTACTACTATTTTTTTCTTAAAAATTACACAAATTGCAGTATATAAATAGAAAATAACAATACAAACAAAAGCACATTCGTTTGTAAGATTTGTGCAAAATCTTACTATTCATTCAATTTTTTTTTCCCAAAAACATCAAATCAAACACCTATTTTTCATTTTTTATATTATACTAAAAATCAATTTTACATTCAAAACATCATATCAACACTTATTTATATCACATCGTACAACTATTCAAATTCAAAATTTTTACTATTCAAATCCCAACTCAAAATCCAAACCCCCAACCAAACACACCCTAAATGTTTATTTAGGTTTGTTTAAATTTGTATGACTATAGAAACACCTACTTACATACTCTCTATCTATGTCCCACAAGATTTGTTTTTTTTTTTTAAATAAAAATTAAATTATACACTTTAATCATATTTAAAGTTTTTTATTAAAATATATTTAGAAGATTCTTGTCTTATTTAGACGATTTATATATCACTATAAATATATACATATTCTTATGATTGAAATAGAGAATTTCAATTTAATATTCAAATAGTTTTTTAATTTTAATTAAATTAATTAGTTATCTTAATTTTAATATATAATTATTTTTACTAATAAACTTCTTTGTTATTTACCAATTATACTTTTGGATTCTCATATCTACGGAAAATTGGACAAGTAAGGTGGAATGTAGAGTAATATATTGTTACTTTCTTGATTGTAATTTAAAGTTCAGTTTGTCTTGGAATTTGGATTTTGAGTTGGGATTTGAATAGTAAAAATTTTGAATTTGAATAGTTGTATGATGTGATATAAATAGGTGTTGATGTGACGTTTTGAAATGTAAAATTGATTTTTAGTATAATATAAAAAATGAAAAATAGAGGTTTTATTTGATATTTTTCGGGAGAAAATTTTGGATGAATAGTAAAATTTGGATGAAATCCTACAAACACAACACGATTGTATTATTACTTTTTTTTTGGTTAAGTTTGTGTATATTAATGCATTCATCTAATAGAAGAACACTTATTGGGATGGAATTATAATAATTTTTAGTATATAGTTGAGTCTATTAAAAACTAAATATAAATAAGCCGATCCAACCTCTTCAATTTGAGAGTATTTCTTGATTTTTTATTTCTTATTTATCTTTGTTGGATAATGTGAGAATTTGTTGTTGCAATCTTCCTTGATTTATTATTATTATTATTATTTTTTATAAAGTGGGAATCCGTAACGCTATTCGAAGAGTGTGCTTTGGGTAAAACTCTCTCTCGAATCTAATATCCTGCAAATTATTTGTATTCCAATTGTAATCCTATATCCGAGGTATATAAAATTTCTGTTTTATGTAGTTTCACATTTATTCATTTTTTAATAAAATATTTTTCCTCTTTATTTATTTATTTATGATTATATTGTGATATTGAAAATCATTTATATAAAAATGTGTATATATATATATGTATACATATATATATCTTCAATGTTCGTTTATACTAATCATTTTATGGTATGTTTGGATCTGTGTTTACTTGTGTGATTTAAAAAAATTTAAATAGTAAAATTTTTTAGATAAAAATTAATGTTCAAAATAGATATATATATATCTTTAATTTAATAAAAATAACAAAGAACTGTATTAGTAAAATTAATTATTATATAATAAAAATAATTATATATTAAAATTAAAATAACTAAATAATTTAATTAAAATTAAAAAATTATAAATTATGAAATAAAAATATAATGAAAATATATAATCATATTTTCAAATAAAAAAAAATTAGGTGAAATGAATTAAAATAAAAAACTGGAGAATTTATATAGAGTTGAGGAAATATTATTATTTGATGATCTATGTATAAAAGTACTCTCTTCGTCTCACATAGTTCGTCCACTGTTTTTATTTAGATCGATTATACATAATTTGTCTTTTTCTTAACATAATTATAAATTTTAATTATAATTTATAATTTTTTTATTTTAATTAAATTATTTAATTATTTTAATTTTAATTTATAATTATTTTTATTATATCATAATTATTTTTACTAATATATTTTTAATTACTTATTAATTTATAATACCAAAACTCCGAGTTAAAATGGGTAAATTAGCTGATACGGACGGAGTAAATATTACTCCCTCCGTCCCTCATACCATGTCCATGTTGCCGTTTCTATCCGTCCCACATATCATGTTACTTTTTTTTTTTGAAAAATAATTATATATTTTAATCTCATTTTAAACTTTTTAATTTTATTTTTTTTAATTTTAATTAAACTAATTAGTTATGATTGGACAAAAGGCGTAATTATTTTTGTTGGAGAAAGGAGTATTATTTTGGATTGATTGATTGATGAATTATTAATAAAAAATAAAGAAAATAAAACTAATGGTGATGCACATTCGATATGTGTCCATCAAAGTAAACCCTAACTTCAGTCTATTAGATTGAGTGATAGACAGACAGCCACACGGGATCACATCACAATAATAATAATAATAATAATAATAATAGTAATATTATGCACACGTGGAATACCTTTTCGTATGTTTATTCGTAGTGGTTTTTAATCTTTTACCTTATTACTCACTCCAATCCACTTAAACTATGTTCATCTTTGTATTTTTGTTTATCTCGTTTATTTTATTATTTTTCTTAAAATATTATACACTTTAATTTTATTTTAAAATTTTTATTTTATATTTTTTTCAATTTTAATTAAAATTATTAATTTTTATTCTTAATTTAAAATTATTTTTATTATACAATAATTATATATTTCTAATTATTTACTAAGGGAGTGTTTGTTTGGGGTTTGGGTTTGGATTGAGATTTGAATAGTAAAAATTTTGAATTTGAATAGTTGTATGATATGATATAAATAGGTATTGATGTGATATTTTGAATGTAAAATTGATTTTTGTATTATATAAAAAATGAAAAATAAGTGTTTGATTTAATATTTTTGAGGAAAAAAAATTGGATAAATAGTTGGATTTAAATCCAATCCTCCAAACAAACACACCCTAATTATACTCATTCTAAATTATCGTATCTACAGGAAAAGGACACCGTAGTCCGAACAAATGGAGTATTTACTTTTAATGGTTGTACTTTGTTTTTAAATTTTTCGCATAAATTTTATTATTTCTTATTTGATTAAAAAATATCAAAGTTACTATTATTTTTTATTTATTATATTATGTTAAAAAATTATTAAAAATGTATAATAACAATAAATATTTATATTAGATTAAATAATTATTTTAATGTGTGTTTAGTAATTAGTTTATTTACCAATTTTTAACTTATTGAATAGTTTTAAGTTCTTTGACTGATAAAATAATTATTTTAAATGTTTATAAATCAACTTTTTGAAAAAGCTTAAGCTATAAAAGCTATTTTTTAAAATCCGATACACCCTGGCGTTTTATAACATCGTTTCGATTATATATTATTTTTTTAATTTTTAATTTATCCTTATATATTAATTTCTCATTCACACATATATTAATATATTTTTTATTATATTATCTA